AAATTCTGCAGTTGCAACAGGATGAGATGCTATAATTTCAGCTGTTTTGTACGTATCCATAAGTTATTCGTTTTGGATATTGTCTAGATCAAGTTTAACGCCTGCAAAGTATAATGCCACAGGACTGTGGATATCGGCTGGATTTAAAGTAAGAAATATGCTAGGTAGTCCTTGGTTATAGATAAGTGCATGAATTCTGGTACGTAAAGCCGTTCGTGAATACCCTGAATCCATAACTCAGTCACCAATAGTTTTAATATGTTGCAGCAGTTTGTTTAATGCATTGTTTGATTCTGAATTGCATATTCTTTTTTTGAATTATTGTCCAGAGCTGTTTCAATATCTTTACTACTCAAAATAGAATTTCATCAGGAGACGATTAAAAGTAAGACTTGGTTGCTATCAGTTGAGCATGAAAGCAAGCATCACGCCGTTGCAATAAATTGAAGATTACAAATATAAAACTGTGGTTTGTTTCAAAACGACGATCGTTATAAGATAATAGATAACGTATGTGTTCTTTTAATTTTATCTGAACTGAACGGGATTGATCTTCAGGTGCTCCATGCCCATAACAGAATAAAGTTGGATATAAATCTGCTAATAATTTGGGATTGAAATATTCGTTGACAGGTTTCGAAGAATGAGGAATTAAATAAACATTTTCGATATCCATCTGATTCTTGTTTCCATTATATTTAATTTTGTGCAAAACATAATTAGTGATATTTTCTGAAGATATTGACGTTCCATTGACATCAAGAACACCACTAAAACAGAAAAGATGTATGGAACAATTGATTCATAAATTGGTCTCACCTGTTTCTGATAGGAATAGTATCTGTAGCGGTATGGTCTGTGGGATCGGATAATGGATCAGGAACATATCCAACTCTTTCAGATTGAATTTCTTCATCATCTAACTTTTGTTCTAATGTTGACATGATACATTCTGGCACATCGTCTTCTGGTAATTGAGCGATATTTTCGAAATTTATGTTGACGTTTTGATAAAGTACATTGTTTTTTTTTCAGCCAGTGTAATGCTTGCATAATTTTCTTCTTGCGCACTGTTAGAACTTTTTTAAGATGAATACGAACGGGAGGTCGAGTTCCAATAAAAATCACTTTAAGTGTATCACATAGATCGTCAAGTGTAAGTGGCAAACAATTGACGATATTTGGTATATTTTGAACAAAGGTAATGCAGTTGCCTTTCACACCTAGACGCGCTTCCATAGCTGAATGAAAAGGCGAATGAAGTTTTATTATACAGCTATTGTGACGATAAAGTGATATTAATTTTTGTTCTGAAATCGTTAATCCTTGTAGTTCAGCAGGTATATCACCTAATCACATATTGTTGACAGTTGAAAACTTAGGAATAGATCCCTTCAAAAGAGCACTGTGACATTTTTGACAAAGTACACACATATCCACTTTCTTTTGTTGAAATAAGCTACTTTTGTATAAGATAACATTGTTTTGACAATAAAACGACGATGAATCAAAAGTTGAAGGATCTGAAATAATTATAAAGAGTTTGTATGAATTTTTAAATTGCAAAAGTCTTATATTACTTTTAGCACTTTCAGTTATCTTCATATAGTTGTTGGCGAAGATTTCTCTATCCATATTTGA